CCATATTACTTGCCCTAGGATCCATTTTTGCAGAACACTTCCTTACCACATGTCAGCCCACAGAGCTGGGACAGTGTGCCTGTCCCAGTGGGTTTCTTCTGTCTTGCTTCTCAGCAGGATATTGTTTGGGAAAGACTTTGATGGAGCTGGAGAGATGGCTCAGCAGTGGGCAAGTATGTGAGAACCTGTATCGGGTTCCCAACACCCATATGGGGTTGGGGGTGGGGCTCACACCTAACTGGAGCTGCAGTTCTAGGGCTCCTGACACCACCCTCTTTTGGCGTGGGAGTGGGGGCATCTGCCCTCATCTGTACATACCTCCCACACATAATTAATAAAAAATAAATAAATAAAGATAGCAGGACGTGGTGGAACATGCCTTTAGTCCCAGCATTTGGGAGAGACAGTCAGGCCCTTCTACTTTAGTTCGAGGCCAGTCTGTTCTACAGAGTGTGTTGCAGGAAAGCCAAGGTCTACACAGAAAATTCCTGTCTCAAAATAAAATCAAATAATAAAGATAAAAAATAAATAAATATTTTTAAAGAAGACTTTGATAAACCTGTTCCCGGGATGAGGAAATGACTCAGGATGGTTCTCCAGGCTGTCTCTGAACCATTTGCATTTCAAAAGAAGTCAACCCTTAAATCTGAAAGTGCACCACTCTTGAAGCAATTTTGGTTGCTAATGAGAGCAGCAAAAGGCTTTGCCGAGACTGAGCTTGTGTCTTTCATGTTTTCCTCATATAAGCAAAACTGGTAAAAACTAACCAGGTTCAGCTGATCACTGTTTCCTTGTTCCCTCAATCAGCACTGGGCAGCTCTTACAGGGGACCCTCCAGGCTCTCAGAACTAAGGTCTTTGGAGTTGTTTTGGAGCCAACACACTTGGCTGAAATATATTCTTCTCTCTGTCTCTCTCGGACAGTCTCATGTGGCCCAAGTTGGCCTCTGTGTGTAGCCAAGAATGACCTCTACATACTGAGCTACATGCTCAGTGTCTCAATTCACTCAGACTAGCTGTGAAGGCTGCCAGAGGCTCCTAGGAGAAAACCACTGCATCGGGGTGGGATGCAGTCTCTCCTTCCACTCATTCTTCATCTTGCACCCTCCAGGGGCACCAGAAAGGAAGCTGGGGCTGTGCAGATTGTGCTGTCTGTCTTCAGGGGTTAAGAGGAAGTTTCTGAGGCCTCAGAGTCCACTCTGGGGTGTGCAAATTGAATCAGCAGCAAAAGGCACTTGGACACAAGTGTGGCAACCTGAGTTGATCTCCAGAACCCAGGTCAAAGTGAACAGGGAAAGCTGAGTGTGGCAGTACATACCTTTAACCCTAGCACTTAGGGTGGGGGTGGCGGGCCCAGAGGAAGGCAGATCTCTGTGAGTTCAAAGCCAGCCTGGTCTATACAGCAAGTTCTAGGACAGCCAGGGCTACAAAGAGAGAACCCATCTTTAAAAAAAAGGCACAATGTGAACTGATTCCACAAAGTTGTTCTCTGACCTCCATATACAGTTGTGACATGTGAACATGCACAATACATTTTTAAAAATTTCTATTCAGTCTAGCCAGGAATCAGACCCATGGAGGCCAGAGTTCATCTTTGGCTATCTTCCTCTATCTACCAATTTCCTTTCATTTTTGAGACAATCTCATGATGTAGCCTAGTCTTTGGAACTTGCTATGTAGATCAGGCTGGACTGGAGCTCATGGACCGCCTAGAGATCTGCTTGCTTCCATCTCCTGGGTGCTATGATTAAAGGCACCACCACACCTGGCTTCCACCTCTTTTTTTTTTTTTTCATACAGGCCTTGCACCAAACCTGGAGCTCACCATTTCAGATCTGCCTAGCAAGCCCACCTTTCTCCCTACTCCTGTAAGTGAGATTATAGACACATGTCTCTGCCCCTAGCTTTTTTTATGTGGGTGATGAGGGTCTGAACTGGGGTGCTTGGGCTTCTGCCATAAGCCCCAACCTGAAATCCTGACTCTGTTTGCCCTATGGCTTTTTGGGCTCCTAGCTACAGATGCGCCATGCATGCCTCTTCTTCCCCCCTCTCAGGCACCCAGAGACTGCTGCCAAGGCTTTAATGATACCCCTTGCTGTCAGCCCTCTAGCCCTCCTGTCACTGCTGAGTGTTCATGAAGTTCATGAAGTTCATGCAACACTGCTATAATCCATCTGTTTACCTCCAGAGACAGGAAATTTGGTGCGATTTGCTCTTACATTGGCTGCTAATGAACACTAGATTATTTTACTTTTCTTTTCCCTCCCCCCTGGAAATGTGTGTTTGTTTTGCTGAGCTGGAGCTCAAACCTCGAGCCTGAGGCATGTCAGGAAGTGCTTGACTGAGGCCCAGTCCCAGCTCCGAAAGTATTCCTGTAGTTCTTATCATTCCTTTTTTAGTTCTTAAAAGACATGCATGGTTCTCAGCACCACAGAAGACAGAGGGGAAGTCTCTGAATGGGAACATCCTGGGATACACCTGATGGGACAATGCATTTGATTGCTTTATACCATATCCCCTTAGCCCAGAGATGTCAGCTAGGGCAATGGGTTCCTCATATTCCCAATACCCCATCCTGCCTGCACCTAGGGTCTTTGCTTTTTGAAGCCATAATAGGAACAACTCAAGAGTTAATGAAGTGGAATAACCTTCAACCGTAGAGAGGAGCAAGCAGCAGCTAGAGCCCCTTAGCCCAGGGTGGCCTTGAACTTGCTATGTAGCCTCTGCCTTCCAAATGCTGGGATTACAGGTATTCACTAGCAAGTCCAGTTGATGAGTTGCTGGGGGATAGAATCCAGAACTTCTTCCATGCTAGCTAGGCAAGCACTCTACCAGCTGATCTATGCCTCCTGCCCCTTTTCTTTTTGCCATCTCCACATTCCTCACCTCTGCTTCACTGAGGCAACTCACAAATGAACTCCCTATCCTAAATCCTTGTCTTAGAGGATGCCCAGGAACCAGGGAATCCAGGGAAGGTACTAGTGACTCTCATTCATAGAGTGATAGATGATAGATATAGGTAGATGATGGATAGACAGATGATAGATAGAGATATCCAGTGATAAAACAATGTAATTTTGCATAAAGGGATTATTTTGCATGTTTTCTAAACTCTGCTTTTTAATACTTGTTCAATGTGTTCATAATATAAACTCACATAACAACCGATCCACAATAGATGATGAACACATTTCCATGTCAGTAAATAGAATCTTAAGCATGATCTGTCTCCCCACACTAGGGACTGAACTCACAGCCACTCATTTGCCACTTAGCCCCACCCACAACCCCCAAGTATCTTCTTTAATGCTATCACTGAAGGTGAGCCTTATCTTATTCTTGACTTAATTTATTTAGTTTATAGTGTCTAGGCAAACACAAGCAGACTTTATAGGTGTGCAGAATGGCTTCCTCTGCAAAACACTGAAGCTGTACTTTTGCTTTCTTGTCTCTCAAACGTTCACTGTGTGTTCAATAATTTTCTCTGGCATACTCAGAGGCCAGCATTTCACTTGAGCAGTTTAGTGGGTTTCAGAAATTATCTTTCCACTTTTTATGAAAATCAGGACAGGTGCCCATCTTCAGGGCTTTTTTTTTTTTTTCATTTGTTGTAATTTCCTCTACAGCAATGATTATATCTGCAGCTGCCTCTGGATACCTGGGGTGCCATGTGTCCAGGTTTTCAGGGGTGAGCTTGCTGCAGGCGGTTCAGTGCTTTCTGTCTACCACAGCCCTCTGGAGTTTTAGTCCTCTTCCACTCAATGCACTTGGAAGACCCAAAGCCCCCAGCCCCAAGCAGATCTTTCCTCTTTACATTGCTCTTTGCTCTCTCTGCTTCTATTCTCTGGGTTTCTGCTCTTTGTTAAACATTGTTCTTACAGATCCTATGGATCTTCCAGCTTCATCCTGGGTTTCACATTCCTCCCTGCATCTCTTTTGAGCTCCTGGGAAAGCTGCCAGTGCACCCCAAAAGATTGCCTATAAGCCCCCCATTTTATTCCCCATGGTGACCCTTGTAATTACTCATTGGAATCCCAGGGCTTTCAACAGCTTTCACTTACTAGTATGAATATGTTCAATACATCTTGTCTCAGTTTACCTTCACAACTTCTCCTGTGAAGCCCTATTGCATGTAAGTTCCTCTCTCCAACAGCTGGGTAATCACTGGTACAGAAAGGCTTGGGCACCATCTCAGAGACACCCAGCAAGTCAGTGGACCAGCCCTCAGTCCTCTGCATATAACTCCCTTTGTCCACATGGACTGAGGTGGAAGTCCAGACCCTCATCTGATATGACTAAAGCCAGCAGGCTAAGCCTGGGCTATTTTTCCTCCTAGCCTCTGAGTTTAGGTCCTTTCTTAGGGAAATCATGGTGGCTGCCTCCTCTAGGAGACCCCTTTCCCCCACCCCGGAAGTCTGCTAAGTTGGCAACAGTTCCCTAAAACCAGTACCTAAACTATCCTCACCTGGTCACAAAAGAGCCTCTGTTTAGGGATTAGAGATGGTGTACACACATATGCACATGTACCATGTACAGGGAGACACAGGTGCCCTCCAACCCCTTCATACACATGCATACTCTAGACATAGAGGCAGCCCCGCATCATTCTATCCTCATCTTTCTGCATCTCTCTGTCTCTCTCTTGGTGTCTCTGTTTCCTGTCTCTGTCTTTCTGTCTCTCTCACACACATGCACAAGTCTTTCCCTCTCCTAACCCCATGAACACAGAGGCACCCTCAGATCTGTCTCTGTCCCTCTCAGGGTCTTTGCATCTTTGTGCGCCTGTCTCTCTCTCTCTCTCTCTCTCTCTCTCTCTCTCTCTCTCTCTCTCTCTCTCTCTCTCTCTCTCCCCCTCTCCCTCTCTCTCTCTCACACACACAGTATTAGTGTCTGTCTCTGGCTGCCAAGGTGGTCAGAGTCTCTCCCCCCCCTGCCTGCCCCCAACCCCGGTCCCTGTAGCCTATCCCACCCTGACCCCCCCCCCATCCCAGTGCCACTTACCCTCCATACTGTCTGCTCTGGGACACTCTCCAATGGAGGCAGGCACCTTCGGGCGGGCGGGTTGGCTGGGGCAGAGAGGCACAAGGGGTCTGGGTGGCCTACCCTCGTCTCCGCTTCACCAGGTCGTTCGCGGGCGGGCAGGTGGCGCTCATTTCCTGGGGTCCAGGGGTGCAGCGCCCTCGCAGCAGTGCTGCGGTCCGCCGGACTCTGCCGCACGCCCCACGCCTCCCGGGTCTCAGGGAAGGAGGGGGCTGGCGCGGCACCGTCTCCATGGCACCCGGCACACCTGTGCGGCCGAGCGAGGGCGCCCAGAGCACCTCCCCCGCGAACTCTCCCCAGGACCCCCACCCTCCAAAGTGCGGGCGGTGCCCGCTGCAGCCCTAGCTCTTTGCGTCCACTCTTTACGTATCTTGAGCCCAGCCTGTCCGCACTCACCCACCATGACGTCCAGGACTCTGCCACTCTTGAAGAGGCTAAGAGGTCACTGTCACTACATAGGAGCGACCTCCAAACAGAAGCTGGTGAGTTCTTCCCAGTAAACGATGTGTGTGTGTGTGTGTGTGTGTGTGTGTGTGTGTGTGTGTGTGAGAGAGAGAGAGAGAGAGAGAGAGAGAGAGAGAGAGAGAGAGAGAGAGAGAGATACGGGGAGGGGTAACACAAGATGTGTGTGATGGATGACCCTGGCTTCTGAATCTTGTAGTTCAGGCAAGTGTCTTATCTGCAGAACCTGAGTTTCTGCATCTGTGAAGTAGTTTGGAGAGAAGATGTTCGTTTCTGCCCAGCATATAGTAGATACTCAATTAATGCCCCCCTTACTGAACTGGAGACCACTGCCCTGGCCATCGCCAGGCCCTGTCAGATACCAGCAGACAATACTGTATATCTGCCCTGTGGATGAAGATCCCCAGGTTCTAGGCCAATGAAAGAAAGTGAATAATCACTCCTTCCTTTATCAAGAGTCCAGGTTTTGTTCTCTCTTACGACTTCCAAAATATCTAGAGACCAGCACTCAATCCATCTCTCAGATTAGAATGACAAGGGTGGAGCTTTAAGTATCTGCAATAAGCTGGGAGTGGTGGTGCATACCTTCTTAAATCCCAGCACTTAGGAGGCAGACAAGCTGAGTTTGTGGCAAGTCTGGTCTACACAGCAAGTTCCAGGACAGCCTGTGCTACAAAGTAAAACCCAACCTCTAAAACAACAAACAAACCAACAAAAGATGTCCTTACCTGTGGTTCACACACCAGATGAGCTCCTTGATCCTTTGAAATGGTGTCACTGTGTCCCATCCTGCTCACCTCTCCCTAGTGAGACTGGCAGGTACCAACCAGCTGATGTAAGCCTGACTACCTCTTTTTATGACCCTGTCCCTTCCATTTCTCCTCCTCTAACCCTGCCTTTGTCTCCCATCACTGACACACGCCTCTCAACTGAGCATCTAGCTCCTCTCTATTCCCCTGCCTGCCCCTATGCTATGCACCCTGCCTGATATTCCTGTCCACCTATCTCACCTGCCCATCAACCATCCCTTACCCCTTCCCTGCTCTCAGCTCTCAAGTCTCTTGCACAACCCTTAGGCTGGTGGTTCCTAAACTTTCCCTGAACTTTGGAGCCAGCAGAAGATTTGGACACCCACCTTTTCCCTCCCTCAGATGACACCTATTCCAATTAATTCCAATTAAATTGGAAAGTCTAGGTTGGCAAGGAGATGAGGAGTGTGTGAAGCTTGCTGGCAATTCCAACACACAGCAGATTGAGAACCACCGCCAGTGACATTGCAGTCCTTGTCCCTCTCAGTGCCTGTCTCCCCAGCTGCTGTGTGATCCTCTCCCTTTAGCTCCTCTCCACAGTCTTGAGTAACAAAATGCCACAGGCTTGATGGCTTCACAATGGAAATATATTGCACAGTGTTCTGAAAGCTGGTAAATCCAAGATAAAGATTGCAGGCATCTGGTGTCTCCTGTGGGCAGTCTTCCTGAGTTCTCAGGACTCAGTACACATACACACACACACACACACACACACACACACACACACACACACCTTCCTGCCTTCCCACTCCCCCTTTGTATGTGTGTGTGTTAAAAGGAGCTTTCTTAAGCTGGGCACGCCTTCAATCCCAGCACTCGGGAGACAGAGGTAGGCAGATCTCTGTGAGCTTAAGGCCAGCCTGGTCTACAAAGAGAAACCCTGTCTCGAAAGTCCGAAAAAAAAAAAAAAAAGTGGGGTGGCCTTCTTGTGTATTTTTTTTTAATTTTTATTTATTTATTGTTTTGAAACAAGGCCTTATATAACCCAGTTAGCCTGGACCTCAATATGTAGCCTTGGGGACCTCCCTCAATAGGAAACTTTCAGTTTCTAATCTTTATATCTCCCTAGGTGTGTGCTACCATACCTGCTTTATGTCCTATTGTGGATCAAACCCAGGGCTTCCTGTTAGGCAAGCACTCTACCAACTGAGCTACACCCCCCAGCTCTTTTTACATTTTTTTTTCCTTCTTTATTTTGGAGACAAAAATCCCACTGTGTAGTCCAGGCTAACTTGAAGTTTAAGATCCACCTGTCTCAGTCTCCCAAATGCTGGAATTACAGATAGGTCTTTTATACTGTTTTCATCCCTAGGGAATCAGGACCCTATTTTAAATGAAGCCCCACAGGCCCTATCTTCAAATATAGTCAGTTGGGGTTAGGATGGAGGAACCCATACTCACTGAGTATGTAGCATCCTCTAAGGGCTACAGCCTGGGCTATCTATCCCAACATCCATCCAGTTGAAGACCCTCACTGGTATTGATGGATCACACAAAGTCTGGGCTGGATTGGCATGTGGATTCCTTCTCAGCAGGGTTGGAAGTGTGTTGTGAGATGCTCAGTGGAGATGGTAAGTGCCCAGGAGAAGAGCTTGCACGAAGCCAAATAGTGACCTGTGGGGTAACTCTCCTGCTGAGGGGAAGCCAGGCATCTCCAGCAGGACACTCTGTCTCTCTCCCTGGCTGGAAATGTACAGGGGCCTTTGGGGCAAAGAAGGGTATTGGAGTAAGCTGCCCTTTTTGAAAAGGCTGAGAATTCTTAGGGTAGGAGAAAGAGATTTCTCTGGATGGAGAGAATGTGGCTGCTGGGAATCAGACCCCACACTGCAGACTTTTGTAGTGTTTGTCTGATGGAGGAGGGAGGCTTCCCTTGCACAGTGAGGCCATGGTAGCAGCAGAGAAGCTAAGTAAGGCCCAGGCAGGAGTGGGATGCCTTCCCAGAGCCTGGAAACAGCCTCTGAGGAGCCTTTCACTCTAAAAGCCTTAAAATGCTTATTAGCAAGCTCTCCCCAAGGAAGCAGGTCAGCACCATCCTCCGCATTTATAAATGACAATAGAGGGCTCAGATGACTGACTCCATCCAGCTGCAGATCTGGAGAGCAGCCACCAAGAGAGACAGAAAAGCCTAGAGAAGTCCCCCAACAGGCCTCAGAACTCCTCCAACAGGCAGCCAGAAACCTGCGTGTTTTCCTCTTCCCAGCTTTGACACCAGCCTCCTGCACACCTTCGCTTGGGAATTCAGTGTACCCAACCTCTAAAATGTGAGGGTGACAGAGAGCTCTTCATCTTCACAAGCCCCATCCTGGAGCCTAGGTACACCCACAGATGTCCTGTTCTCAGGCTGGGCTTCACACTCTAGGTTGTGACAGTGATGGCTACTGAGCCAAGAAGGACTCAGTACATCTCTAGGGCATCTCAGGCTTTAGAGGACCAGGACGGTAATCTGGGGTGGCAGGAGAGGGGGAGTCCACAGCCTTCCCAGAGCATAGGTGTAAGCCCGGACACTAATTAGAAATGATACAGAGTCTAGTCAAAAGACCTGGAAGTTTCTCTTCCAACTGGGGACATCCCCATGATATGTGTCTTTGGCCACATGCTCCATCATCTCCAAGCCTGTCTCTTGGCTTCATTTCTATAGCCCAGACTAGCCTTAAATTGTCATCCTCCATCAAACTGTGGTGGCACACGCTTGGTAGGCAGAGGCAGGCAGATCTCTGAGTTCAAGGCCAAGTCCAGCCAGGTCTATAGAATGAGTTCTAGGACAGCCAGGGCTGAGAAACCCTGTCTCAAAAACAAACAAACACAGAGAAACCCTGTCTCAAAGAAAGAAAGAAGGAATTGTCATCATCCTGCCTCCTCCTCCTGCTCCTCCTGTGTGCTGAGATCACAGGCATGTGGTGCCCGACTTGTCTCTTCTATACTGCAGCATAGATTGTAACTACCTTCCTTGTTGTGGTGGCAACTGAATTTGACAGTAACTGGAAAAACTTGACAAGTGGCAGCTTTTTACCTTATTTTGAAATGTATTTTACCTTATTTTTAAATTTCATTTTATTTTTGAGGCAAGGCCTCATGTAGCCCAGCCTGACCTCAAACTCCTTGACCCTGAACTTAAAGAGAATCGTTTATTTTATGTGTATGGGGGAAGTGAGAGGGGAAGGAGTCCTTTAAGTTGGCTGTTGCAGTCTCATGGAACATTCATGCCCACATGTCACACACAGATCTCGGTGGAAGGTAAATTCTCAAATTCTCAGAAGGAACATACTGTGCTTTTTTGTGTGTGAGCCTGCATGTTGGGATTTGAATCTAGGCTCTTGAATAAGCTAAGCACATTTTTAACACACACACATACACGCACGCACGCACGCACACCCACACCCTCCCTCTACTGATGCTGTTGGCTGAGAACCACCAAGGGTCTGGTTGGTCTAGTCCCTGAACTCCATTAATCCTGATAGGGGTGGAACTAGGGTAACAGGAGAGGGTATTGCATGGTGAAAAGCAACAGTCTCCTATTGGTAAAATCTCAGGCAGAGAGCACAATGCTGGCGTTTGGGGGCTGCCCATTTTCTCTTGGGCTGTGCATATGGACTCTTGGGTGCTCCACTTAGAACAAAACCCAGCCATAATATTATGGTCTGTGAGGGTCTGGGAAGACCAACGCAAGGGGGATTACCTAATGTTTAAGCCAATATCACTTGTTGGATACACAGAAATTTAATGTGAAACTTGACCTTGAGCTAGCAGTGGCCCTGTCTGTGAAAAATTTTCTCAAAAATCCCAATTCTGAAACATTACGATTCATTACCTTTTCAGCCACTTGTGGATAGACCAACTATGTGCCAGGCATTGCTCAAGAGGTGAGAGGGAGGAACAGCTATGGAAACCAAGACCATGATCCTAGCAAGTGTAAATAATGGTCAGAGAGAAATGCTCATTGGCTATATAGTACGTAATAAGCT